GTGCTGCTCGTGGGGGGGAGGCTGGGCATCCTGGGGCTTGGAGGTGCTTGCAGCAGCTGTCGCGCAACAGCCTCAGATCTCGTGAAACTCAGTGCTGCTCCAGCGAGATTGTTCCGCCAAGGACGTGGTGCGTGGGCCGCTTCGGACAGGCCTGGGACGATGTGAGATGATGTGGGATGATGTGGGATGATGTGAGATTTGCGGGGCGTTGGCCTGACTGCTTTGCTCATTTCAGCAAGGCATGGACTCTTCCAGCAGCCACGCGCCGGGAAGCCCTGGGTGCGGGCCTGGCAGGCTGCTTGTCGTTTTGCGTGAGAGGTTCCATGTGTTCGATGCGTTCGATGTGTTAGATGTGTTAGAGGCGCTAAAGGCCGTAGAGATCTGAGCAAAGTTCCTGAGAGGCCTCGGCTTGGCGATGCAGGCACCTGCCTTCGCAGCAAACGGCGGGGGGAATTTTTGAAGCCCATGCGCGAGGCTGATCCTGCTCTAGCTAGTGGCGGATCAACCGCCGCAAGCTTGATGATCTTGCTGCGTCGTGCATGTGTCGACGCCGCCGGGTCTGTCCGTGCTGGCGGGATCTGCGCCTGAGGCCGGCAAGTACTCCACAATCCCGTCAGGAAAGCGGAGGCGAGAGCATGCGAGAGCTACCGGTGAGCCCTGAGTGGCTGCCACGCGTTTCCTGCTGCGGGCAGGTTCTATGGCCGTGTTCGCCAGGGCCTCTACCAGCCGGAAGCTCATGGATGCCAACGAGCAGCAGGAGTAGCGTAGTAGCGCACCCCAGTGTTGTGAAAGGTATCTGAAGATGGAGCCTGCCATCAAGGCAGGCAACTTGCAGGCGCCGCCGGAGGAACGGATAGTGCTCACCCCAGCCTAGCGCTGCCTGTCTAGGCGTCCGAGATTGAGGACTTCTTCAGCTTGGATCCAAGCAAACCGTGTAAAGGCCAGATCATGCCTTGCCGGCTGCCAGGCAAGAACATCATCAAAGTGAAGGGAGGGGAGGACATCAAGAATTGCGGCCCAGCCCCAAGCTACCAT